CTCTTTCCCATCAATATCAATCAAATAGGCTGTGTCGCTGGTCAGGGGGCAAAAGAGTGTATATCCTCCAAATGAATGCTGCTTGTCTACCCCCGAGAGTCCGACTCCTCGCCTCTTCAAGGTATTTTGCTCCATCTTGAGCAGTATAAGATCACTAGGTCTTATATGATAAGGACGCAGTGTGATCGCCGGTTGAACTAAATGCGCAAGAAAGTGTTTCGGTCAAAGCCAAACAAACATCTGCCTTTCTATTTGTTTTGGATGCTTGTATAGAAGTGTTCGGTATGCCAACTTATTGATGCTCCTCAAATCCATTGGCAAAAATACCATCGGCTTGCCGTAGGCTTACCACGGCATACCGAAGGTATACCGACGGCATGCCGCCGGGCGATAAGCTCAAGAACGTAGCTATCGCAAAGCAGTGGAGTCATATCTCAGAATTGGGCCGTCCAATAGGCTATCAAGAATCGGCACGCCATTATAGTTGCAATGATATCTTTAACACTATTCGACATGGCCTTATCTCCTTAGCAAGGCCATCATCGCTGCACTCAAGGCTAAAAAGATATAAACCCAGTACAGACAATGCCAGAAATTTACAATGTTATTATAAACAGGGAGAGCCCGTACTCATTTTGCCCATATAGTCGTATCGATTGGATTTTTGAGCATCTTTACAGCTAACATGGACCCTTTACCTAATAAGACCGACCCTGAACAACTTCATTCATCGGAGAATGGCGACGACATTATTCCAGATGAAGCTATCCACGTCCCCGGTTATGAGTCAAAGCTTGAAATCGCACACGGTGAGACAAGGAAGGCATTGCTGAAAGTCGACCTTTGTATTCTGCCGGTCATTGTGCTTTGCTTCTGCTTTCTCCAGTTTGACCGTACCAATATTGGCAACGCCTTGACCGACACTCTCCGAACTGATATTAAGATAGACAATTCAGACATCAACTTGGCACAAACTCTGTTCACGGTGGGTTTCATCGTGACGGAGTTGCCATTCAATATGATTAGCAAGTGGATGGGGCCAGAGCGATTCCTCCCAATCACCATGTTTCTCTGGGGCATTGCGACTTGGTCCCAAGTCTTCATTACGAATGCAGCCGGGCTTTGCGCCGCTCGCTTCTTTGTTGGTGCCCTAGAAGGCGGGTATATTCCAGGCTTCGCACTCTACATATCGCGATATTACACGAATCAGGAGTTGGCCTTGCGATATGCTATCTTTTGGGCTTCCAACAGCTTCGCGGGAGCACTGGGCGGGCCTTTATCTATTGGTCTCCTGTCACTTCGAGGCCGAGGTGGTCTTGCAGGGTGGCAATGGCTTTTTCTGATCGGTAAGGATCCCTAGGTTCTCTGTCTGTCAAACATTTCTTATGAAAAATAGAGGGCATCTTGACTTGCGTTCTCGGAGTCGCCGCATACCTGTACCTCCCTCACAATGCTGCTTTACCAAAGTCGTTCTTTGGCAAATCATTCAACATCTTCTCCAAGCGCGAAGCATCCATAATCGTTACTCGAGTTATCCGAAACGACCCCACCAAGGCCCTTCGATATGGACAACCAGTTTTGCTCTCCCACATTGCAGAGACGCTTGCTGACTGGAGGTTATACGGGCATCTCGTAGCTGGCCTCCTCTCGATGGTTATGATTTCGCCAATGAACACCTATGCACCTTCCATCATCAAATCATTGGGTTTCACTGCGCTTCAAGCTAACGGCCTCAATTCCGTTGGTAGTGTGTGCGCATTGATCTGGTCGGTGATGCTGGCCTTTAGCAGCGACCACTTCCGCGAGCGAGGATTCCATATTGCATTGGGCTATTCTTGGGGAGCGGCTGGCTTGCTCTGGCTCGCGTTGGCGCCCGACCATGTCAGCAAATGGACGCTCTACGGTGGCGTAGTCTGGACGCAAATGGGCATGGGATGCGTCCAAGCCATCAGTGCTGCCTGGCTCACTGCCAAGATGCAAGACTATAAGCGACCTGTAGCACTGGCTGCCTATGTGATGAGCATACAGCTTGCCAACTTTCCTGGTAACCAACTATTCCGAGATCAAGGTAAATTTTCCAACCCGACTCTGATCTTCAATGTTGAGAAGTTAAATTATTCACAGACGCACCTCGATATACTCGCGGGCTGAGCATCGCTGCTGGCTGTGCTCTTGCCGCTGCGGCTGTGATTCTATTGTGGAAGTTGCTGTATCGTCTGTTCGACAACGGCGATGCTGGTGTTGAGGCTCAGTTTCATGTTGCTTCGGGAGAAGGCAGGGGTTCAACTGGGATGGAGAGCGCCATACAGGAAAAATCTATCTAGGGCTATAACATTGATTGTGCCGTGTCGAGTAGTGGCATGTTAGATGCTGGTATTTGGTTTGTAGAGCTAGTTGCGATGGGACGGCGTCCACCTTTGGTTGTCGTTGTGGTAGACAAACTGAAACTACATGTAGGCACCAATGCAACCATGAGTAGGACGTGATATTTAAAAGCGCTATTCTTTCGATCCATCACTGCATTTGTACATATTCTTTTCCCCAAGATGGTGTGTTCTGTCCCAACCGCCTGAGCGACTAGTAGGAGAAGCGCTGTTTCAATAAAATTATTGCTTAAGGTGCAGGTTAGCGGCGGTAATTAGACCACGTATTAATAAACACATCCCTTATCATCGGTTAATTATTTGGACTGACACAGCAAAGATAAGGCAAGTTTTAGTTTGATGAGCAGATTAGACTCTGTCATGTACTTTCACGTGACCTCTCACGCCATATCAAATGATAAGTCGTGATCAGCTCTATGAAGTGTGCTATATTGAACAGAACACAAGCTGATCGTAGCGAGTGTGTAAGATATGCCTCCTTTGCGGACCGGAAGAGCCTCAAAGGCATGCGATCTATGTCGCAAACAAAAGACTCGTTGCTATGAGTCTACGAGCTCCAATGGATCTTGCCTGCGTTGTGAGACATTATCCCAACAATGCTCATTAGAGTTATCCCAGAGCCTTACACGTCCCGGTTTGGCCCCTACACGTCGCCAAAGCCGCAATTCTACTATAAATTCACCAAACATAGAACAGCCGAGATCCGTGAATGATAGGTAGGACTCATCGCAGATCGGTTCATAGCCGTGACTTTCTGAGTATGCAATAGTTGACGTCACGCAGACTTGAGCGCCTCGAGCGAACAATAGAAGATCTTGTTAATCGACTCGACTCGAAACTCGATGATTCTAGACATGCTTTGAATCATGGGCCAGATTCATATATTGGCGACTCTGAATCTCCTATTCAACTAGATCCAGCACCTGTGTCGCTGCTCCGAAACGCCGCTACACGTACAGATACGTACTCGTCACAAGATACCGATAGTCAATTGGCCCTCCAAACCGACGTAATCTCATCGGGCCTGGTATCAGCGTCTACCGCCCATGTACTTCTAGAATTGTAAGAGAATTTCATAATAAATTAGAAGGGTTAGCTTACAAGTTTCAGATTCCACCTTCATTATGGCCGCTGGATTAAGTTCCCAGAGAATATTTCAACGGAAAAGCTCCTCCTTTTGGTTAGGAAGTCGCCGCTTCTTATCTGCAGCATCTTCCTGATTGCTGTCAGACATACTACGCAGGTGTTGGCGGACAGACTTGCTCCAAAACTATTACAGGAAGCCAAGCGACTCATCACTACTTCATTACTAAGGGTACCACAACCGATTGAGTTCTTTCAAGCTGCCCTTATCTTAAGCCTATGGTCTACAACGATTGGTCAAGTGCCTTTGAGTATCGACAGCTGGTTGTTGACGGGATATGCCATACAACAAGCGCTTGCGAGTCCGCACTTTGCAGAAGTTTTACAATCTGCTCCGCATCAGCCTAGCACTGCCGCACATCTTGACTCATGGTGCTTGTGGAATCATATATGCGCTGCACATCTTCAGTAGGATAACTCTTCATATCCTCCTCAAGGTTCCGTGCTAATCCTTAGTCAGATATTGCGTTGGCACTCGTAGGCAAGCATTATTGAATCAAGACCAAATAGATCGTTGCATCAACTTCATTAAATCAAACAGTGTCACAAACTATGAGCAGCGAATGGTGGCCGAAGTCCAGCTTTACTGGATAATTTACAATAAGTGTAGCCTTGCTAAGAACGACCTCGTTGACACGAAACTTGCCCTTGAAGCCTGGCAGAGAGAATGGATGAGACTCTTCAGTAAGCATCCGTGTTTTGGTGCCTATATTACCATAATTAACCAAAACTTCTTTAGATGAACCCCGATCTCAATTCCTCCAGATGGGTTTCCATTTTGCTCATCTGTTAGCTTACTGTCAATCCCTCAAATCCCCCAAGTCAGTCATGCATAGCTCCATCCTCAAAGAGATCGTTCGACACTCAAGAGGGATCATTAATCTCGCTATTGATACAACGGATGAACGTACCCGACATCTGACCGACCATATCTATCACATTCTCAGCTTCTCAGCACTCACGCTGTGCCGAATCGTGCAAACCTACGAGCCAAACTTGCGGGCAGCCAGCTATGAAATTGCTGAACTTGACAATCTCGTGTTTGAGCTTATCAACTGGCTCAAGTCAATCGGCCCACCATGCCATGCCGCTCATATTCTCGGCGAGATTGTCTTGACGCAGTTTCGGAAAATTCGACCAAACTACTTTCCCACGCCACAGATGGTGACCATTTCGTTGACTGGTAATACTGAGGGCATTTTAACAGATGAAGAGCTATCATTTCCCGCTGATCCTTCTCTTATGTACTCTAATTTTGTTGGCTGGGAAATGTTTGACATGGACGCTGGAGAAAGTTTATGGCCTGAATGGGCTCGGAGTGATTCGGATACAGATCGGCCAGTGTGAAAGTGAAACCTCGAAAGAAAGATGGATGGGGAAAATTTGCGTTACACTACCTTCTATTACTATTAAGACTCTATGTATATATGTGAGGTAAAGAAAATAGGTACTGCTCTCATTAAAATAATGATTTTAGGGACGTTCGTTGGGTGAAAAGTGTTGAAGTTGCTCAATTCCCAGGGTTGAAGGATAAGATCTTCCATCTTTAGCATTAGTATCCCATTCCTTAATAGATGCTACTGAAGAGCATGTTTGAGGATGCTCTGGGCCAAGAATCCGTTGCCGACCACGAACACAGCTCTCCATCAATGCCAAAGCGTCTGCATGTCGGCCTAGACGTTTCCAGTCGTAAGCTAGGCTAGCCATACTAGTCAGAGTATCAGGATGATCAATGCCAAGCTTCGCCTTGTACGCCTCTAGCACCTGTGTGTGCAGCTGCTCAGCTTCCTTGAATCGGCCCTGGTATCTGTATGTTGTTGCTAGATTTGCTATATTAATCAGTGTGTTGGGATGATCAAACCCAAGCTTTGCCTTATGGGTCTCTATTATTTCCAGAAACAATTGCTCAGCATCATCACAGCGTCCCTGATTTGCGTAGATCGACGCTAGATTGTTCATACTGGCGAGAGTGTCAGGATGATCAGCTCCAAGTGTTATCTTGCGACCATCTACCACTTGTACCTCTAGCTTTTCGGCATCCTTCCAACGGTTCTGGCCCATATAAGTCAACGCCAGGTTGTTCAATTCAGTCAGGTGGCCGGGATGACCTATCCCAAGTTTTATACTGCCAGCCTCTACCACCTGTAGCTGCAGCTTCTCAGCATCATCCCATCGGCCCTGACTCACGTATGTTAACGCTAGGTTGTTCATAATGGTTAGTGTATCGGAATAGTCTGCCCTGAACTTTTTCATTCGACCCTGAGCCTCCATCACCTGCACCTGCAACTTTTCGGCATCCTCCCACCGGCCCCGGATTCTATATGTCGATGCCAAATTGCTCATGGCAGCCAGCGTATCGGGATGATCAGTTCCGAGCGTATTCTTACGTGTCTCCAATATTTGCACGAAGAGCTCCTCGGCGTCTGTCCACTGTCCCTTGTCTAGAAGCACCGATGCATATAGGAACATTGCTGACAATGTATATCTATGCTCTCCTCCTAGCAATTTTTCGTAGGATCTCCTGGTTTTATGAGCCATTCGCTCTGCCACGACGAGCCTACCTTGCGAGAGTGCAAACCAAGCTCCACTTGTTAGGAGGGCCGCCCATATCTCTTCCAACTTCTCTCCCGTGGGCTTGTACTGGATGGCTTTCTCGACATGTGGGAAGAGCTTTCGACACGACTTCCAGTTCTCGAGATAATCTCCATCCGGAAATGATGCTTCCAGTCGTGTAAGATACAGTTCCTTGAACCGCTCTTGAAGGCCATGGTTTTCTAGCCACTTTCTTGTCGATAGTTGCACGAGTTCGTGCATCTCGAACTCGATTCCATTTTCATTCACCTTGATGAGATGAAAGTCCTTCAACATGGCCACATCATCCTCGAACTCGTCATCCAGCAGCTCTTGACTAGTTTCGGAATCTGAATCTTCGTCGCCATCTATAATGGTCGTCGAAGCCGCAGGCTTCAGGAGCAAGTCCGGTATATTGTGTCGATCAAAAAAGCTCATAAGCGACATCAGCTCTGAAGCAGAACGCCGTCGGGAGTATATGTGCTCAAAAGACATCTGCCACGTCGTGAGGATTCCATTCGACGCGCTGTAGTCTCGCCGAAGATCTCCCCCATCATACCCTAATAGTCTGGATCGCTTGCGCTCGCTTTCCCGGAATTCGGCCAAGTATTTCTCTACCGAGCTTCGTGGCGCCCTCGCCTGTATATATCCAGCCGCTTGATTGATGGCAAGCGGAACATACTCAAGAGCCGATACAAGTTCTGTAGCCGCATCCAGATCCGTGATAACACCTATCTTCTTCTCCAGCAATAACAGCGCTTCAGCTTTTGACATTGTCCCAACCTCAATAATGTCGGTATTCCCAATCAGTCTGCGCGCCAGATCTCTGTTGCGCGTTGTCACAAGCACAGAGCCGTTTCGGCTTTGTGGTAGGTACGATGCTAGCGGTTTGCTTTCTGAGCCAGCCATCGTTCCGAAGAAGACATCAGCGTCATCAGCGCTGTCGAGGATTATGACCCATCTGCCATTTCGTTCCTGTGATAGCCAGATGTATAGGAGTTGAAGGATGTCGGCTTTGGGTTCTTCCCAGCCTGGAAGCTTGACAGCGTCCGCGATCATCCGGAAGCCCTCTTCGAGTCGTGCCCTTGTACTGGCATGGACCCAAAATACCCACACCTGTGCCAATTCTCGATCGATCCGGTAAGCAAACTCAATGGCCAGTTGCGACTTTCCCACTCCCCCCAGGCCTACGAGGGCTGTACGACCAGCCTGTTTGAAGCATTGCTCGTCGATTCGTGCGAGAATGTCGCTTCGGTCCACGAAATCGGGATCGCGATTGAAAGGGATTGTCATCGTCGGCTTCAGTTCCTGCCAGGTGTGGTGTTTCACTCCAGAGAGTTTAGCTAGATACAAGAATAAGAGGCGGTTTATTTTACCTTCGTTGTGAGCTCCGGTCTTCTTTCTCAGGCGCCGCACTGCATTCGACTTTCCTTCACCATAGATGAGTGGCATGAAAACACCAAAGATACCTAGAAGACAATATGCCCAGTCTTCCTCGCGAGTAGTCTGGCGCCCCTCAGCCCATTTAAATCGTTCCTCGATGTCAAACTCGGACACATTTGCGCCTCTAAGAGCCAGAACAGGGATACCTGTTATCTGATGGATCTGTTGCTCAAGAGATGCTTTGTCGCCTAGCCAACGGCCTTGTTTCGTGAAGAACTCGACCGAAACAGGGGCCACGAGCTCTTGAAGTGTCCATCCACGGGTAAACCATCGGCTACGTCGTAGAGCTGCTTCCCAAAGCAGACCAGGCTGCGTGCTGCCTAGCGACGTTTCTAGCTTGTCAAAATTTTGCTCCTCATGATGATACGATTCCAATGAATTATTAGACCCTGTATTCAGGTTTGGGGTAGTAACATCGGCAAGGAACACATAACATCGATTCGCGTTTTGATACCATCGAAACATGGAGTTTATAGCCTCGTGGAGCTCTGTGTAATTCGACTTATCGATACAGCAAGTATCGATCCAAAAGTACTGCAGGCCGTCATATCTCGCTTGTTTCGCGCAAAACTCGATCTTCTTGTAGCCGGCCTTGTTCTTCCCCGTGCAATCAATTAAGTCTCTGTACGTGACCTCTTCCTCCTCTGAGCCCCACGTATGGGATAGGATAGCATAGCGAGGTAGGTCGCGATTGAAGTCTCTTGTCAAGAAGACTTCGCCGTTATTGTATTCGAGCAGTCGCATGCTTGGAGCTGACTATAATATGTCAGTTCGATAGGAGTCGAAGCGGCGATTGTTGCTGAGCTTGTCATCAGTTAGGAATTGAGACGTAGTTGGGAGGGATTTGGATAACCTCCGGCCAGTGTTTCGATTAATAAATGACTCAAAGTCCCGTGGCGCCAGTGACATTCCTAGGCGTTTCGGTGGGTAGATCGAGGCAGTGCCGTAATTCAGCCTGAGTGAGGCTCAGTGCATTCGCGCAAACCCACAGGGAATCACATATAAACGTCGATAATTATTTGCTTCGCAGCAATGTATATTTCTTGGATAACAAATGATATTGCAGACCCATTGCAAAGCACACTATCTTATTCACCCGAGATGATATATTCATTGGCCCTCCCCCCATCAACCTAGGAGCGAGACTAACTAGACCCTTGTCTACCTGGAAGAAGGGCCACTCTGTACGCAGGGCGTGAAACTTCTTCATGCCGAAGAGGAGGATGAGCCAAGAGAAAGCCCACAGAAAGGTCAGTTAGAAGAAGATCCAACTGACACACTAGATGATGTACCAGTTGGTGATCAACCCAGCCGAGAGGATGTCGACACCGCGGTTGGCGACGGGGAACAAAATAAACAACTTGCCCCTATAGTTTATATCGGTGACTATACGGTTGAGGCAGAATTTCACAGACAACGGTTAGTTTGAATAAGGCACTCGAGTTCAACTGTATTATGAAATTTCTTTTATTTGATATCTATGCTGCCTTAATACAAGAGGGCAATTGCAATATTAAAATCAATCTTCTCATGTCTAGATTTCAGTATAACCTTGTATGAAGAACAAATAACATAGTATTTAGATAATATACTTAAGTGTATTATAGAAACTAATAATGTTTGGGAGGATATTGTACACGGCAAACGAAGGCACTCCCCTATTCCTTCTATATATAATATTCAGTATTTGGAGCTACAATAACTTGCTTCTATGCTTAATTCAGAACAGTGATCGAGATAATACACAAACCAGTTTCTATTAGATCAATTGGTAGAAAGAGAATAACAGATGCGGCTACTGGAACTTAGTCTCTTACTCTATCTTTGCCTTGTGGTTCTCCTTCCACTCTTCAACCAGACCTGCAAAATCTGCGGGAAGATGCGGAGAGGTGAGTTCGCGGTAGAGGCTGGATTTACGGCGCACCTCCAGACCGAGGTCTTTCATCAACATGTTGACATAAGGCAGACCATCAAACACAAAGTCTGGAAGGTCAGCACCGTAACCACACGGGTAGCGCCACTTCCCCCATTGCGTATGTAGCATGATTTCGTTGGTGATCTCTTTTTGGTTTCCCGGATTACGATCTAACTTCCCCGAAAGGAAGGCTGCTATCCAATGCCCCTGGATCGCCGCGCAAGTTGCAGTGCTGACAGTGGATATCATGCCCGCGTAGGCCAGGTCGCGCGACTCAATCATCTGCGAGGGAACCATAAATCGATAGTATCTTAAGGTTTTTGAGTCCTTTGGCTTGAACCGAAGCTGAGGCTGCTCTTTGAGGCCTGGATATAAAGCGAGAATGGCGGCGTCGGCGTTCTTGTTCAATGAGTTCTTTTCAGCTTCCGAGATAGCGAGACCAAGCTTCTCCTCGCCTTTGCCAGCGAATTTGATGGATGATTCTTTTTTCCAACCTGTGGAGCAGATAATTGCATCTGCTTCAAGCTCTTTGCCAGAAGTGAGTACTGCCGAGTGAGGGGTTACGCGCTTTATGTCGTCGATATGTACACGGATCTTGCCTTGTCTAACAAGATCAAAAAGGGAAGTGTCATAGTTGAGGATACTCAGACCACTGCCAATCCAGAATGCCGAATGCCACGGTTTGAGCTTTTGCAGCTCTGGGTGGGAGTCGTATTTATTAGCAGCAACGACGTCATTGCTCAATACTTTCCAGAACGTATTGACGACGAATCTACCAATGGCAGTTCCATGAAGAAAACGGCGAATCCGTGGATACCCGTCCTCTTCACCCCAAGGGCACGGGCTGAACCACGTCATCCATCGCACGTTAAGCAATTGATCCATCCTCCTCCTAAATGGAGTTACGAAGGGAGGGGAAATCCACACCGGACCGTTTCCATTTGGGCGGATGATCAAATCAACCTCTGCACCATCCTGGACGAGCGCGTACGCGACATCATAGGCAGACTTGGCTCCACCAACGACTATCGCATTCTTGACGTTTTGGAGGCGAGACGCCTCTTTGCAAAAATCCTTTGCGTGGAAGAGGGGACCTTGAAAGTCATCCGCGCCCTTATATTTTGGGAAGTTTGGTGTTGATGTGAGGCCCGTTGCAAGTATGAGCTTCTTGGTTTCAAAAGTTTGGTTCCCATCTGGAGATGAGACGGACAGTTTCCAGCCCCCGTTTCCGTTGCGATCGACCAAATTGACGGCCGTATTAAACTGAATCTGATCGAAAAAGCCATAGTGTCTCGCAAAATCAGTGAGATAGCGGTGTAGAGTGGCACCAGGGATATGATTATTAGGCTTGACACAATATTTGTCCTCCGACATGGCAAAGTCCGGGAATTCATAGGTCCCTATCATGTTGTTTGATTTCAGGCCAGGGTACAGCCGATTCCTCGACCACGTCCCGCCGCATGATTCGGCTGCCTCGAGGACAGCCATCTTTGCCTCTGGATTTATCTGCCTGTACGCCTTGGCAGCAGCGAGGCCGAACCAGCCTAGAGAGGTGTGTTAATAACAATGCCTGTGTTAAGTCTTTGGGAGGAGGAGGCAGGTTCTCACCGGCGCCTACAACGACAACGTCATATGATTTCCTTGGGACACTCATGATGGATGCAAATTGCATTGGCTTTTTGCACAGCGAGTTGCCAGCCTAGATAATTGAGCTTACACATACTGCCTACTATAAGACTCTGAGGTGGGATTCTACATGGAGCAGCTATGCCGTTCCGCTATCTTAGCTTTCAATCCGGATGATACATCACACAACCTTCTTGTTATGTTATCTGCAGTACTATCGCAACACTAACAAAGCTCAGTTTTCCGCAAACTCGTAATACCATGGAAGTTCCTTTATATTGGCGTTTGCATCAAATTTCGGATGGTCCCTTATCCATGGCTATCGGAACTTCCGGTCGGAACGGAAGTTCCGTAGTTCACATGATGGGTGCATGGCTATTAGTCCCAGATAACAACAGCCTAAAGCTGGTAGTTTCGGTTAAGCGACAGTGACACTAAGCCAATTGAGTATGGCCAAAGGATCACCAAGATCCGTTGTAAGATGCAACTTTCAAGCCCAAGCGTTCACCGACTGCTGCCATTATCTGCACTACATTCTCTGCCTAAACTAGTAGCTTGATGCCCTGAACTGCATGAAGTAGGGATGCTGGTATCACTAAGCACTGCATCCCTGCCAACAATCTGGCCTGGAGTCGTTGGCGAGAGTGTAACTGAACTGCCACCCTCGAAGGCGCTTGAGAGTTGCGCTAAAATAAGTAGAGCCGAACCGTAAAGTTGGTCTTATCGGTACATACCTTCGGCCGAACTACTAGATCGGCGTGAGATGTCACAGCTAACAATCCAATGTGGTAGCATATGACTCGGGTTTGTGGAACTTGGTCCCGCTCGCCCTCAAACCAATTGGGGTTGTCGGGGGCGTTGTGCATGCCGATGCAGCCGATGAGTCTAGACTTGAAAGCCCTGACCCTCAAGTGCTCAGATACCTAGTGGGCTGTCGACCTGAAGGGAAGAAGCTCGGTGGTGTGTCTGAATATTTCTATGTCAAGGCCAAATCGTCTCGGTTTGCACAACCCCTTGGGAAAGATTCTACCTAACTATTAGGCAGAGTCTCTGCCTCCCACGAGAAGCTTGTCACCTCAGTGAACGCAATGGTTGAGCAACCATTTGTAAACTATGTTCCTACAGTGAGCACACTTCGCTATCTAGATTAGCTCATTTGAACATCGCTGATCCCGATGAACAGCTGGCCGGTTGGAGTGGGAGTGACCGGCTGTCAGGCTTTTATCGCGCCAGGTTTATTTTTCAAAACCCAATAGACGTGGAGCTCGAACTAATTAGTCGATTGATTGGTATTGATCACGTTGTTGATCAGCTTATTAATAGTTTTGCACAAAACAGAGCGGTGGACTAATTGTTAGCAACGCAAGGCACTTCAATACGTCCTTATTAAAAATTCTTACGTACTATGACAGTGAGCCAGGTGTTCCTTCTGCTTTCAAAAAAAAGCCCAAGTTCTCTTCACCGCTCTAGTCAACATACGTAAGGATAAGTTACATTATAACCACATCAGCTGGTATCAGGGAACCCTCCTGATCTAACTGGGCTTAATGCCAGAGTGCCTCCCTTTCGTATATCAAATCAAGAATCAGGAAGCTGTTGAAATCTAAGAGTATCATGTTCCAGTAGCTGGGATTAACACGGCTAAAAATGCTCGACTGTAATGCTATAACATTTTTGAGTCATATGTATATAAGAAAGCTGAAGAAACGAAGCTATTTAACTTCAAACGTCAACTCTCCGTTACCCCTTAAATTCATGCCGGCAGAGAGGCCCACCAGAGTCCTGGATCGTGGTACGTATATGGAACTATGGCTGCGTGGCAATCTGTGGAGGACGAATGCCAGTTCTCCACCCCCTTTCCACCTCGGACCCTGCACCTCAACACATTCATCTCAGAACAACGCTCGGTAAGCCTAGTAAGTGCAGCCTACCCCACTCCTCCTTGTCCTCCTTCTAGTAGACTCTGGGGAAGTTGGGTAGATTAGCCCTCCTAACGCAAACTAGTGCTGCGCCTTATCGTTGACCCCGCACTGCGGCTACCAGACACTTTCCGCAAGCGGGACTATTATCCGACAGCCAAAACGAGAAAGATAACTTACGGGGATGCCCAGACACCTTCTTCTTACTTTCTGCCATTAACTCTGTTTCCAAGTCTTCACAATTCTGCCCCAAGTTACAATGGTTCAGCCGACCGTCCTGAGGA